CACACACACGCGCGCGCACATACATTCACACCGCTCGCCCACGCGCACCGGGCCTTGCACCTAAAACGCCGTGCGGCTCCTGTCATTGGGCCGCGGCGTCGCGAGGAAGTGGCTTGCCCCTCGCCCCACCCCCCCGTGTGTGTGTGTGTGTGTGTGTGTGTGTGTGGAGAAGCTTCGCTTACCTTGCCCCAGGTGGAGGAGAAGCGCCTCAAGTGGAAGCTCGAGGAGCTCGGCTTCACCCAGTTCTCGCTGCCGCTCCCCGCGCCGCTCCGCTCGGCAAAGCGGCGCGAGACGCCGTCGGCGGAGGCGTGACACGTCCGGGACACGTCCAGGACACGTCCGAGACACGTCGCACAGGCGCGAGTGGTCGTCGGCGGAGGCGGCCGTCTTCGGCGACTGCCTCGCCCGCCACGGCCGCCGCTTCCGCGACATGCTGCCCGAGCTGCCGGGCCGGACGGTGGCGGACTTGGTCGAGGCGTACTACCGCACGCACAAGACGCACAACCACATCAACAAGATCGACACGCACCAGCAGACGCGCAACGTGCGCGAGAGAGGGGGAGAGATGGGGAGATATGGGGAGATACCAGCAGACGCGCAACGTGCGCGAGAAGCACCGCCGTGGTCGTGTCCCGGACGCGTGCATCACATGTCCGAGACATGTCCGAGACATGTCCGAGACATGTCCCTCAGGTGCGCGAGGGCATGTGCTGCACCGTCGGCTGCCTCCTCCACCACAACCACGGGGGGCTCCACCTCTTCGAGCAGCCCGTCGGCCCGCGCGTCCGCCGCCAAAAGGTCATCCAAGACGCCGTCTTCTCCTGAGGGACGCGCCGCGCCGCGAGTTGTGCTCGACAACGCCCCACCCGACGCCACCGCCCTTGGCGTGGTGGGCGTCGGGCCCGAAAGCTCTCGCGGGGGGTTCAACTTGGCGTGTCAGGTGCGGGCGGGCGAGCAGCCGCCCCGCGCCGGGCGCACGCCAAACGGCCACTCCTCTACTACACACCGTCCTGCTCTACACACCGTCCCGCTCTCGTAGAGCTCTCGTAGACGTAGATGGAGCACTGTCCACTGAGCCGCGGACACCCGCGCTCGGGAACGACCCGCAGTCGAGAGTCGTGGGCGCTCGGTTAAGCGCGGTGGGCGTGTCTCCGTGTCACAGAGAGCAAAAGGAAGAAAACTGCTACGCGGGGCGCCCCCCTCCCCCCCCTGCTGTGGCGTGTGCGGGGGGCCGAGCGTTTTTGATCTCTGGGTCTGTGGGGGGCCGAGCCGCCTCGGGGTGGCGGGCGGGCGGGCGTTTTGAAAAACAGAAAACAACACGAGGGGGGCCGGGGGCCTGGGGGACCCCACTGGGCGAGTAGAAAATACGCCCAAGGGGGCCCAAGGCGCAAGGGCCAAGGAGGCGGCGTGGGGAAACGGAAAGCCTAGCATCAGGTGAGAGCAGGAAGGATGGCGCTTAGGGTCGGCTTTGAACAAGGGTTTCCAGGTTTTAGATCAGTATTGGTGTCGGCACACATCCCCACATGAGGTCAGCGGCGCGCAGTTTCTCGCCGAGAAGAGAGAGAGAGAACCGCCACCGTCATCACACTACGTAGTCGGATCTGCGAGTCGCTGGGGGGGCGGCTCCGTTCGCGGGCGGCGGGGGCTCCGGCTCTCAATAACTGCACGCCCGCTCTCCTCACGCCCGCTCACCGCGGATTCGGCGGGCAAATTGAATGTCCTTGGGCTCTAGGCAGACGCGCCCCGCATAGATGGCCACGAGGTTGGCGTCGTTGAGGAGGCTGATCAAGTAGCACTGGAGGGCCTCGGCGATGATCCGAATGGCGGCGGGGCGATACGTGAGGTTCGTCTTGAAGCCCTGGCCGATCTGGGTGACGAGTCCGACGAAGGGCAGGAAGGGCAGGCACAGGCCGGTTCGGCTCTGCTCACTCCAAATCATGTCGAGTGCCGCCTCATGGCGTGCCTTGATGGAAGGCGCAGCCTCGTCCTTGCCCCCCGCCGCCTCGGCCCCCCCTTCGCCATCCTCCTCCTCCTCGTCCGAAGGGTGGGTGGCACAGCGCTCCTCGTCCTCCTTCTCCGCCTTCACTTGCTCCAACGCGGCGGCGCTGTGCCAGTCGAAGAAGAGCGTCGGGAAGGCGGTGGCGAGGAGTGGCGGCACATTCGATGGCACGAAGGCTCCCCCTTCGGCGCCCTCCTGCCGATGCTGCCCCGTCAAGCCAAAGAGCGCGACGGGCATTTTTTTGCTTTGCTGGAGCGCCTTCAGCACGTGCGCCGGCGTGACTTCACGCGAGCGCTCGTGCTCCGTGCAGGTGACCGCGTTCCTTACGAGATTCTCGAGGAACACCTTCGTCACGCTGCGCAGCTCATCATCGACGCCCCCACTGAGCTTCAGCACCCCCGCGCGGGCGCCGAGCGCGCCAAAAGCGAAGCCGTCGAGCTCCTCCTTGCTGCTCGCAGGGAGCTCGCCCACGAACCGGAAGTCGCCGCCCTTTTCCGCGTCGCCCTCGCCGCCCTCGCCGCCCGTGCAAATCTCCTCGAGCTTCTTCCACTTTTGATGCAGCTCGCCGCCGCCCGCGATGGCCGCGCTCGAGCCCAATAGCATCCGGTTGAGTTCCTCGTCCAAAGAGCACGCGAGGTAGATGTGCCGCGGCGAGATGCGGCTCTTCTTGTTGTCGCGCGCCGCCTTGCCCCCGAGCTCCAGCACCTCAGCCGTGAGATACTCGAGCACGGCCGCCATGTACGTGGCCGCGGAGGCGGAGACCGTTCGGTTCGCTTGCTTGGTCAGGAGGCTGCCCACCAGCTCGACGGAATATTGGAGACCCGCCGCGCGCGAGAACGACGATTCGGCTCCCCCGCGACAGAGCCTCCTCACGGCCTTGGTGCCCTCCGACACGGCATGCTTGGCGAGCTCCCCCGGAAACACGAGGCGCACGGCGGTCTGCACGTCGCGCGGGGACAGTCCCCCGGGGCACTCGCAGCGCTCAACCGGGCCCGGCGCCTTGCTCGTCGGAAGGTCGCCGATAAGGCCGACGAGCAAGGCGCCAAAATATCCGTGCTGGAGCCTCACGACCGAGCACTGGAGGGCCGCGAGCTTCTCCCCGTCGCTCTTGGCGTCCCACGCCGCGACCTTCTCGTTCATCGCCGCGGGCAGACTCGTGCGCGGGTACCACTGTTCCTCCTCCTCCTTGTCGCTGCCCAGGAGGAACTTGCCGTCCGCCTCGCCCAGGATGTGAAGCTCATCGCATCCATCGAGAATCGTCTGGTCCAACGGCCGCCAACCCTCCCGCAGCGCGCTCGCCGAGGCGCCCACCTTGGCCAGGGTGTCCAGCGTGAAGTCCTCGACCACCTGGAGGGCCTCGTCGGTGATTCCCTTGTCCGGGTGGACCTGCTTGAGCACGCGGTGGGCGTAGGGCGCGAAGAGCATCTTCTGCGTGGACGTCGTCACCGTGTCGGCCCACGTCGAGTCGCACTCCTCGCTGTAGTCGCGCTGAGCTGCGGAGGCTTGCTGCCCCGGCGACGGATCGACGTCCGGCGACGGCGGCGCGGTGACCATCGCTGCGGGCGGCTCTGCCAACTCCGCCTCGGCCCTCGTGGCGCTCTCAGCCTTGGCTGCCTGCAGCCGTGCCTCGCGAGCCTGGCGACTCGCCTCGCTGGGCTCGCTCGGAGCGGTGAGCAAGTGCACCTGCTGCCGCAAGCGCACAATCTCCAACCGGAGCGCGCTCTTGGTGACACGCGGGTCGTGCAGCACGGCATCTGCATACCGCCTCACCGCCGCCCGGACCAGAGAGGCCGAGCGGCGCTGCAGCATGAATACCCGCCGCATCGAACGGGTCCGCTGCACCGCCTGCAAGCGGACGCTTGCTGCGCGGGCGCGGCACAGCTCGCGCCGCGCCGCCCAGCGCCGGCTCGCCGCCTGGAGCACGATTGCCGCGCCCCGCGCCCTTGCGTAGGCGGTGACACCCAGCCAGCGGCGCGCAGAGGCCTCAATCGTGAGGGCGCCCGCGCTCCAGATGCGCAAATGCATGCGCGCGCGCAAGCCGCGGCAGGCGGCCTGCAAGCGAACGCAGGCTGCCCGCGCATTTCGCAGCTGGACCACGGCCCGCCGGCGCCGGAGCGAGCTCGCGATCTGAGTCGCGCTGTCGATGACCCGCCCCGTCTTGGCAATGCCGGCGAAGGCCTCCAGCACCTGATTGCGCTGGTTTGCCGCGGCAGCCTCAGACCGTGCCTTGGCCACCTCCTGTTGCATGCGTGCCATCTGCGCTTTGAGCTCGCGCATGGGTGTCGAGTTGGTGTTGGGGGGCAGCTCGCGAAGTGCTCCACGCGTGCCGCCACCGCCGCCACCGCCGATAACGCCCGCCGCGGTGGCCACTCCGGCGTCTGGGGAGCGGACTCCCGTTCCGCCATCTCGCCAGCCCGTGCGACGCGGAGCTCGCTGCACGGAGAGTTCAAAGGCGAGCGGTTTCTTCACCCCCCGGGCCCCGGCCCGCCCCGGCGGTACAGTATGCGCGATTCACGCACGCTGGTGTAGTTCGAGCTGTTGCCCATGCGCTAAGTGGATACAGAGTGCGCTCAGAGGCAAAACGCGCAAAAATGGCACGAGAGCCATGCGAGCCATCGGAGCCGCTGCACCGGCCACGCGTCGCAACGGATAGCACACCGAGCCTGCGGCGTCGACGCGACACGGAGAGCAAACCGAAAGGGGGGGAAGTAAAGGATCACGGACACGCATCGAAGTTCGTCTAGGGACAGCCCACAAGCACCGCGGGGGGGGTGCGCGCAGAGCCCAGAGGCCACAGAGAGCCAAGAGAGCGCTCAGACGAGGTCCGTGGGCGGCTTTGGGGCCTTGCGCCGCGCCTCCGCAAAGCGCTTCGCCGAGGCCTCGCTCGTCAATGGCCGCGACGGCCGCGATGAATGCACGGCCTGAGGGGCACCGCCTGCACTCGCGCTCGCATCCTTGATTCCGTCGACCCAGGTTTGGAGGTGATCAAAGGCGGTTTCGCCAATCACGAAGGGGACTAGAAAGAGTGAGATCAGCGCGGCCCCCAGCAGAGAGACGAGCCCGAGGAGGAAGAGGACTGCCGACGGCAGGGCAAGAAAGTGCTCAGGCAGGTGCGCACGTGGGTGCAGGAGGGCTGCCGGCCGGAGGAGAGATGGCGAGGGAGGAGGAGACGGGGTGGCGAGGGAGGAGGCGAGGGAGAACATGGATAGGATGGGGAGTTCAAAGGCGCGCCGGACGGAGCGATGCAAAAGAAGGCGATGCTCGTCTGGGTCTTGAAGAGCACAAGGCGGCCGTTTGTGCTCTGGGCGCGCAGGACCGTGTACGAAAAGTCGCTCAGCTTCCCCGGGTGGCCCTTCTTCAGCAGATTGATCTGCTGCTGAGGGTCGTCGAGCCGAATCGTCGAAGAGCCGTCTTCTGCGCCCAAGTAGTACGAGGTCTGGAGGCGGAGCCAGTTGACAAAGTGCTCGTTGCCGCCGCCAAAATACTCTGCAAACATCGCAAAGGGCGCAATCTCGTTCCACGCCGCCGCCAAGTCCCCGCCCCGATGGAGCAAATACTCGGTGATGGCGGCGGAGAAGACCGCGCCGCCGTGCAGGTCCATCCCGAAGTCGCCCTTCGTCGCGCAGCGCCTTGGCAGGACCGGCATCATGTTGAGCATCGCGTCAATGAAGGGGAAGGTGAGCCACCGCAGGTAGTCGGTCTTCTCCACGGTTATCTCGATCAGGCTGCCCGGCCGACGCGTCCACGGAAACACCATCTACGGCGGGCGCGGCAGGCGGCGGGGCAGGCGGCGTGGGAGGGGAGGGGGCTGGTAGCTGTGGCGGTGGTGGCACTTTCCTGCGCGACGGGGTCATACTTCATGATGAAGTTGAACGAGAGCGGCATATTCAGGTCGTACCAGCGCTCGAAAGCCATGTTCGCGATCTTGGTCGGCGCGAAGGCGTACACGCTCACGGTCTCGCGGTCGTCCTGGAGCAGGGCGTCCTTGACCAGCCAGCGCTTTTGATGCTCCCACGCGCCTGTCGCGCGCAGGCAACAGGCGTGAGAGCAAGAACAGGGCGCTGTGGGCGCATCGACGAGCGAGGCACCTGACCACTTGACGTCAAACACATCTGCCCCGTCTGCATTTGTCGTCATCGTGATTGTGAGCTTGGATGAGGTCAGCTCGGTCTTGCTGGCGCCGAAGATGTTGACACTGCCGCTCCAGTCGTTGATCTCCAGCGTGTCGATGTATCCGTCACGCAGATCCCGCAGCCCCTTGTCCATGCCCACGAGCAGCGCCGCGAAGACCTGGGCGACGGCACCGCCCTGCGAGTGACCCGTCACGATCACCCGCTTGTACTTGCCAATGTCGTAAGCGCCTTCATTCATCTTGGCGAGGAGGAGGTAGCTGAAGAGGCAGCCCATCGCGCGGTCAAGGTACTGCCGGTGCACTTTCTCGTCCGCGAGACCCTTGAGTCCGTCGAGCACTTGCTGCCCCCCCTTGTAGCCTTTGAAGACGGTGGAGGTGGACACCTTGAAGGAGATGTTGCGGAGCATGTCGCTCGCGACGCCGAAGAGGGTGCCGCGGCAGCAGACGAGCAGCTCGCGCGCACCGTCGCGCTCGTAGTCCTTTGTGAAGACAATGCCGCTCGTGGATATGTGAAATTCAGGAAGCGCCCCCACGCGAAACCCAACGTCAGGCTCGTAGGCGAGGGACATGGCGAGCTGCGAGCACTCGAGCGCGATCGTTGGGTCGAAGCCTTCGAGCTCTTCCGACTCGGACGGCAGGCACGGGCACGCCATTGGCGCTGAGGACGCGCGCCGGCCGTGCCCCCGCACCCGCCTCCTTTGGGTGCGCGCCTGCCTTGTTGGCCACGAATCGCACGTCCACAGTTCCACAGGCCGCCTCCTCTCTATTATAGGTGTATTGTTCTATTTGTTTCAGTGTACTTTACTCTCTCTCTCTCTCTCTCTCTCTCTCTCTCTCTCTCTCTCTCTCTCTCTCTCTCTCTCTCTCTCTCTCTCTCTCTCTCTCTCTCTCTCTCTCTCTCTCTCTCTCTCATTGTATGTAGCTCTTACCTTTCCCACTTTTTGAGCTAGCCTTCGATGTTGCGAAACAATCCTTCTCCTTCTTTTTCCACGCGTGTGTGCCAGTCCGCGCCAGTCTGCGCCCTTGTCGTGCCAGCGTGCTGGAGAAGAGGCTTGTACGGAAAGGTTTTTCTTCTTTTCCCTCCCTGCCCCATGTCGACGAGCGCGTTGGCGTCGTCGTCGACACCCTCCTCCCCCGTCAGCTCGCTCACGAGCCGCGTCCTCTCCTTCGTCGGCCTCGAGGACAACCCGTACTTCTCCGCCGGCTTTGCGCTCGGCGTGGCGGGCACCGGCCTCGCCGCGGCTCGCGGCGCCGGCCGCGGCGCCCTGACGCTGGCGCAGCGGCACCTGCTCGTGACGCTCGAGGTGACGTCGAAGGACAAGTCGTACCCGTGGGTGCTGCAGTGGCTCACCCAGCAGGCGGCTCCTCCTCCCGCCTCCGGCGGCGGCGGCGGCCTGCTCAGCCGCCTGTTTGGCGGCGGCGGCGGCGGCGGCGGCGCTCTGCGGCAGCACGTGTCGGTGGAGACGGTGGTGGAGCGGCTGGCGAACGGCAAGGTGGAGACGCGGTTCGAGTTCCTGCCCTGCCCCGGCCGCCACGTCCTTCGCTACAACGGCAGCCTGCTCATGGTTGAGAGGTGTGCACTGCCACCGCCCGCACTGCCACCGCCACACCTGCCGCACTGCCACCGCCACACCCGCCACCGCCACCCTGCCGCCACGCTCTGCGCGCGGTTCAGCGCTCCATCGCTTGGACTCTCACTGCCACCGCAGCGCCCTCCGCCCTCGCCGCCGCCCTCGCCGCCGCCCTCGCCGCCCGTCGCGGCCCGGCGCGCCAAGCTCGCTCCCTCTGACCCTCCCGCTGCTGTGTCTCTTCGCCGCAGGCAGAGGGAGCAGCAGACCGTCGATTTCCAGACGGGCCAGCCGTGGGAGTCGGTGCGGCTGACTGCGCTGGGTCGTTCGCCGACCCTCTTCAGCGAGCTACTCGCAGAGGCGCAGGCGCGCGCCGACTCGAAGCGCGACACGTCGCCGCGACCTTTCCGAGACACGTCGCCGCGACCTTTCCGAGACACGTCGCCGCGACCTTTCCGAGACACGTCGCCGCGACCTTTCCGAGACACGTCGCCGCGACCTTTCCGAGACACGTCTCCATGACGCGTCCTCTGGCACGCCCCACAGGCGCACGCCGACTCGAAGCGAGAGCTCACCACGACCGTGTTCTCCAACTGGGGCACCGAGTGCGGGACACTTCCGAGACACTTCCGAGACACCTCCGAGACACTTCCGAGACACCTCCGAGACACTTCCGAGACACCTCCGAGACACCTCCGAGACACGCCTGGGCTCCGTGCCTCTGCCACTGCCACTCGCGTTGCCCGATCGTGCCCCTGCCGCCCTACGCCGCCCGCCGCATCCGCTCAGCGCTCCGCCCGCACACCTCGCCGGGTGGCGGCCGTTCGGGCAGCCTACAGGAAGAAGTCTGCAGCCGCCGCGCGATTTCTGTGTGTTTGCAGGTGGCGGCCGTTCGGGCAGCCGCGCCGCCGGCGGCCCCTCGCCTCCGTCGTGCTCGATCAAGGCATCGCGGAGCACATCCTCAACGACGTGACCGAGTTCGTCGACTCGCAGGAGCGGTACCCTAGAGGCGGAGCACGCACTCTCGTCTCCCAGCCAGCGCTCGAGAGGACACGCACTCGTCCGCACTCGACGGCCTTGCCGCCCTGAGGGGCGAAACTGAGGTCTGTGCCTCGAGCTCGCAGGAGTGGTACGTCTCGCCATATCTCCCCCAGATCTCCCCCAGATCTCCCCAGATCTCCCCGCAGGAGTGGTACGTCTCGCGCGGCATCCCGTACCGCCGCGGCTACCTGCTGCACGGCCCGCCATATCTCCCCCATATCTCCCCCATATCTTCCCCATATCTTCCCCATATCGCTCCCATATCTCTCCCATATCTCCCCATATCTCCCCATACCTGCTGCACGGCCCGCCCGGCTCGGGACACGTCCTCCTTCCGCCAGCCTTCCACGCGCCACCGTCCACAACTCAGGCCCGCCCGGCTCGGGCAAGTCCTCCTTCGTCGCCGCGCTGGCGGGGCACTTGGGGTACGACATCTGCGTGCTCAACTTGGCCGAGCCAGGCGGGCCTCACCTCGGATCACCTCGTCCTGCCTCGGCTACACCTCGGCTCACCTCGGCTCGCCTCGTCCTGCCTCGGCTACACCTCGGCTCACCTCGGCTCGCCTCGGCCCATTTCGGCTCACTTCGGCTCACCTCGTCCCATCTCCTCCCCTACCCCACGGTACCCGAACCCACCCTCCCCTACCCCACGGTACCCGAACCCAGGGCTGACCGACGATCGCCTCTCGCACGCCCTCACGCACGCACCCGCCGGCTCGCTGGTGCTGCTCGAGGACGTCGACTCCGCCTTCCAAAAGGCTCTTTGAGAGCCTTCCGAGACCCTTCCGAGAGCCTCCTGATAGCCTCCTGATAGCCTCCTGATAGCCTGCTCGGCCCTTCCAACAGGACCGCGACCCGACGGACCGCCGCTCCTCCTTCGCAACCTTCTCCGGCCTTCTCAACGCGCTCGACGGCGTCGCCGCCGGAGAGGAGCGCCTGCTCTTCATGACGACGAACCACATCGAGAGGCGACCCCGCCATGACCCGCCATGACCCGCCATGACCCGCCATGACCCGCCATGACCCGCCATGACCCGCCATGACCCGCCATGACCCGCCATGACCCGAGAGGACCTGCCATGACCCGCCATGACCCGAGAGGACCCGAGGTGATCCGAGAGGGCCCGAGAGGGCCCGAGAGGGCCCGAGAGGGCCCGAGGTGGCCCGAGGTGGCCCGAGGTGGCCCGAGGTGGCCCGAGGTGGCCCGAGGTGGCCCGAGGGACCCGAGAGCACCCACCTGAGAGTACCCGAGAGGACCCGAGAGGACCCGACTGGACCCGAGAGGACCCGAGATCATCCGACACCACCCTAGGCTCGACCCCGCCATGATCCGACCCGGCCGCGTCGACGTCATCCACGAGGTTGGCGACGCGACGCCGCACCAGATGCGCACGCTCTACCTCAACTTCTTCCCTGACCAGCCACAGCTCGCCGACGCCTTCGCAGACGCTCTCTCCGGCTCCTCCGTCTCGATGGCGCGCCGCTGCAGCCCCGGACCTTTGCTCGCCCTCGCGCGACACTGCTGTTACTCGCGAAGGAGTTTCTGTCTTCTAGGCGCTGCTGCAGTCGTACCTGCTCGTCTGGCGCCACTCGGCGGAGCAGGCGTGCGAGGGCGCGGCAGAGCTGGCCACTGGGGTGGCGCAGGCGAGGGACGCGCGCGCGATGCGGCCGCGGCCGCCGCCGAGGGAGGCAAAGGGCGGGTAGTGCCGGGCCGTTGCGGTCCTGTTGGGGGGGGATGGCCATGCCAGTGCGCCCACCGCCGGCTCGGGGTTCGAGGGGGCGAGGCCTCCTCGAGCTCTCCCAGCAGCAGCACCCGCCCAGAGGCGTATGGTCAGAGCACAGAGGCGGCTGCTTTACGATTTCGTTTCTTTCAAAAGAATCGCCGCGTCGGACGCCCGCGACACGTGTCGCCGATACTTCACGATATTCGAGAGACTCCGCTCATTCGAGACGCGTCTCACCTAAAGTAAACTCGGTAGAGTGGGGAGTTCACGGCTCTCCGCCGCTGGCGTCGCGCGCCTCGATCTTCTTGGGCAGCAGCTGGTTCGACAGGTCCTCTCCGTGGCCCAAGCTGCCTTGCCCTCCCCAGCCCCAGCTCCAGACGCCGCCGTCGGCGGTGAGGGCGAGGCTGTGGAAGCCTCCAGCCGACACAGCGACGACGCGCTGGCCGGTCAAGGCCTCGACCTTCTTCGGCAGCAACTGGTCCTGCTCGTCGCCGTGGCCCAGCTCGCCGAAGCCTCCATAGCCCCAGCTCCAGACGGCACCGTCGGCGGTGATGGCGAGGCTGTGGAGCTCTCCAGCCGAGACAGCGACGACGCGGTGGCCGGTCAAGACTTCGACCTTCTTCGGCAGCAGCTGGTTCTGCTGGTCGCCGTGGCCCAGCTGGCCAAAGCCAAAGCCCCCCTCGCCCCAGCTCCAGACACTGCCGTCGGCGGTGAGGGCGAGGCTGTGCAGACCTCCCGCCGACACGGCGACTACGCGCCGCCCAGCAAAGGCCTCGACCTTCTTGGGCAGCAGCTGGCTCTGCGTGTCGCCGTGGCCCAGCCTGCCAAGGGCTCCATTGCCCCAGCTCCAGAGGGCGCCGTCAGCGGTGATGGCGAGGCTGTGCTCGCATCCAGCCGACACAGTGACGACGCGCCGCCCTGCCAAGGCCTCGATCTTCTTCGGCAGCAGCTGGTGCTGCTCGTCGCCGTGGCCCAGCTTGCCGAAGATTCCACCGCCCCAGCTCCAGACGGCGCCGTCGGCGGCAAGGGCGAGGCTGTGGCGCTCTCCAGCCGCCGCAGCGATGACGCTCTTGCCCGCCAAGGCCTCGATCTTCTTCGGCTGCCACTGGCTCTGCCGGTCGTCGTGGCCCAGCCTGCCGAATTCTCCATGGCCCCAGCTCCAGACAGCTCCGTCGGCGGTGATGGCGAGGCTGTGCCCGCCTCCCGCCGACACACTCACTGCACACTCACCCAGCGTCGACGTAAGGCGGGTCGGGGTGTTGAGCCGCGTCACGCCCTCGCCGTGGCCAAGGAGGCCTGGGTCGTGATTCGCACTGCCGCACGACGAGAGCCGCCCCTCGCCGTCGATGAAGAGGCTGTGCCGAGAACCTGCCGCAGCCCTCGCCGGCGGGTTGGACTCGCGTAGCAACGCCGAATAGCACAGCCACCGCAGGGGGCAGCCCTCGCCCTCTGGCAGCGCCGGCAGCTCGAAGCCGCGCTCCTGCGCCCACAAGCGGATGCCCTCCAGCGCGAGTGAGGCGTGGAAGAGCAGCGAGACGGCCGCGACGCGAGCGATGTCGGCGGGGTCGCAGCGAGAGAGGGCGCGCACGAGGAGCTCCGTGGGGAGGTCGAGGAGGCGGGCGGGCGGCGGCGTGCCTGGCGAGGGGGCGGCGGTGGAGGCGGTGGCGAGGCGGCGCGAGCTGCGGCGCGGCGGGGTGGACATCGCGAGGAAAGAATTTCAAGTGCGACAGCGCGAGGAAAAGGAAAACACACCAGCCGGACATGTCGGAACCGTCCGACTATAGTGACTAGCACACCTCTGAGTCCCCAGAAACCCGAGGAGTCACACAGTCCACCTGTGTGATGCACGCCCTGTGAGCGGGGCGGGGTGCGCACTGTACCTCTGTGTTCGTGCGTTGCCCATCTCTACGGGAGATGACTGCTCTATTTATTTATTTACAAGCACTCTTTGCCGCGCCTCGCAAGCCCGCGTCTGCCGCGAGGTCCGAGGAAAAGAAAAAAGCTTGCGAAGCAAAGGCAAAAGACTTTCCTCAGACGGGAATATGTACGTTTAAGAGCTACATACACGAAAAACGCTCCCACTATCTGTCTGGCACCTCCCCCACCGTCGAGGCGCCCTCCTCGAGCGGACCACCCCACCAGAGGCGAATGCCTCACCCGGGCATGCTGCTGCGCCAGCGCGTGAGTCTCGCGCCCTGCAGCGGCCACGGGTCGTGCGTGATGCGGCCCACCCACAGGCCGGCCTCCCGCGGCATCACGGTGGAGCGGAGCAGCAGCCCCGCCTCGTTACCGCGCTCGACCAGGAGCCGGGGGCTCTGCCGGTTCGGCAGGGCCGTCGCAGATACCTGACTCGAGTGTTTTCGAGTATGGTCTAGATTGAGACGACTCGAAGAGTTCACGCTCCGCCGCGCGCCTCGACCTTCTTGGGCAGCAGCTGGTTCGACAAGTCCTCTCCGTGGCCCAAGCAGCCGTGTTCGCCCTGGCCCCAGGTAAAGACAGCGCTGTCGGCGGTGATGGCGAGGCTATGCGCGCCTCGAGCCGACACAGCGACGACGCGCTGGCCAGCCAACGCCTCGACCTTCTTGGGCAGCAGCTGGCGCTGCTCGTCGCCGTGGCCCAGCCTGCCAAAGCCTCCAGGGCCCCAGCTCCAGAGGGCGCCGTCAGCGGTGAGGGCGAGGCTGTGTTCGCCTCCCAACGACACAGCGACGACGCGCTGGCCAGCCAAGGCCTCGACCTTCTTGGGCAGCAGCTGGATCTGCTCGTCGCCGTGGCCCAAGCTGCCTCGCCCTCCATAGCCCCAGCTCCAGATGCCGCCGACGGCGGTGATGGCAAGACTGTGGAAGTACCCAGCCAGCACAGCGACGATGCAATGGCCAGCCAACGCCTCGACCTTCTTCGGCAGCAGCTGGCGCCGCTGGTCGCCGAGGCCCAACCGGCCATCGCCTCCATAGCCCCAGCTCCAGACGGCGCCGTCGGCGGTGAGGGCGAGGCTGTGTTCGTGTCCAGCCGACACGGCGACAACGCGCTGCTCAGCAAAGGCCTCGACCTTCTTCGGCAGCAGCTGGTTCTGCCTGTCGCCGTGGCCCAGCTTGCCGTAGTCTCCATCGCCCCAGCTCCAAACGGCGCCATCGGCGGTGAGGGCGAGGCTGTGGTACGCCCCAGCCGACACAGCGACGACGCGCTGGACCGCAAACGCCTCGATCTTCTTTGGCAGCAGCTGGAGCTGCACGTCGCCGTGGCCCAACCGGCCGTCGGGTCCATAGCCCCAGCTCCAGACGGCGCCGTCGGCGGTAAGGGCGAGGCTGTGGTATGCTCCTGCCGACACGCTCACGGCGCGCTCGCCCAACGTGGAAGGGAGGCGGGTCGGCGTGTTGAGCCGCGTCACGCCCTCGCCGTGGCCGAGGAGGCCTGGGCGGTCGGATGGCGCCGAGCCGCACGACGAGAGCCGCCCCTCGCCGTCAATGAAGAGGCTGTGCCGAGCGCCTGCAGCCGCCCTCGCCGGCGGGTTGGACTCGCACAGCAGCGCAGCGAAGCACAGCCACCGCACGGCGCAGCCCTCGCCCTCTGGCAGCGCCGGCAGCTCGAAGCCGCGCTCTCGCGCCCACAAGCGGATGCCCTCTAGCGCGAGTGAGGCGTGGAAGAGCAGCGAGACGGCCGCGACGCGAGCGATGTCGAGGGGGCTGTTGCAGCGAGAGAGGGCGCGCAGGAGGAGCTCCGTGGGGAGGTCGAGGAGGCGGGTGGGCGGCGGCGTGTCTGGAGAGGGAGCGGCGGTGGAGGCAGAGGCGAGGCGGCGCGAGCAGCGGCGCGTGGACATCGAGCAAGAAGAATTGCCCTTGCGGGGACTAAACCCCCGTAACAGATTTTGGCCCATGCGCATGCTCTTCCTCGTGCTCGCCGCGCGCTCGGGAGCCGGAGTGGCGGGGTCGGAGCTGCTGCAGCGGCGCGAGTGGCCGCGAGGGGTCGCGCTGGGGCTCTCCAGAGGGCGAGGCCACTACGCGGTGCTCGCGGCGGCGCACGGGGAAGCTTTGAGCAGTGCAGCGCCTCAGCAGCGCCTTCAAGCAGTGCAGCACAACGCCAGTGGCCTCTCTGGAGCTATGCGGCGGCTGGCGGGCCTGTGCGATGGCGCCGATCCGTGGGCTCGGGACGCGCAGTCGGCTCGCGGGCCGGTTGCCGAGTCAGCCTGGCTGGCGAGAAGCGCCAAGGCCTTCCCTGCATTCTGGGCGCTGCCCAGAAGTGCGCAGTACCTTTGCTGCGCCGACGGGCGGCCTCGATGCGGATTGCCGCGAGTGGCGTGGGAGCCTCCAGTGGTGCGGTCGTTGGTCAACACCGCGGCGCGCGCGCGCCGCGGGTGCTGCACAACAAGCGGAGTGCATGGGCGGGCGCTCGATCGCTTTCCGGCGCCCAACTTTGACTACCGATTGCCGCCAGTTATTATAACCGGTGGGAGATCGTTTCTGCAGACGGAGGGATTCAACGCGGCGATAACTGCCCGAGACGTCCCTAACCTTTATTTATTTCTGCCCTGCTTCAGGAATCGGGGGCTCACTTCTTTCTTGCTTTGTGCAGGACGCAGGTCCTACCTTTGGGGACACGTAATTCCATCTATATGGTGGTGTCCCCCCCCCTTCACTCTTCCTTCCTCCGCCACCCCCCCGCCGCCGCCTCCCCCCCCGCCGCCCCCCTCTCCCCCGAAGACGAGACGGCGGCGAGGCCGCGGTCGAAGAAGTATAAGAGGGGAAGGCGGGCTCCGCAGCCGACGCCGGACCATCGGAAATCGAACAGGAGGGAGGACCGGGAGGAGAGGGGAGCCCCCTCGGATGGGGGGTGGGGAGATCGGGCGGAGGAGCCCTGAGTGGCGATGTCGGGTGAGAGTGTACGTCATGCTCGTGTCTAGTGTCTGGTGTTTACTAGCTCCGAGTAGAGGGGGCGTTCCGCCGCTAGGGGACACCCAAAGCGCAGAACCAACCCTCGGAGACCCGTGTTTACTTTAAGGCCCTTGCCCTGCGAACGCGCACCCCCGGGGCTAGGGCTCTCTTGCCCGCAACCCGATGCCAATCATCCGGCCCGCTGGGTGCGCTTCTGAGCTCCCCGGCCCTGGATGTGCGGTTGATGACTGCACTCCAAGTGCTCCAAGTGCGTGTGTTTTCTTTCTTTCTTTCTGATTGCCTGCAAGAGAGAGTGGACCTGAGCAACGATATGACTTGGCGGCAAATGATCGGAGTGGGAGTCAGAAATGTGGTCCTTGCGCGAGGGGAGCTCGATAGACTCGAGGGGCCAGGATATGCAGCAAGGAGGGCGGAGCTGCGCCGAAAGGCGAAAGAAGCCGAGAGAACAAGGGAACGGCAGGCGGCGGCGGCGCAGGACGAGGCAGAAGAGAATGACGCGACAGAGGAGGAAGTGACAAGGGAGAGAACGACGAGAGTGGGACGGCCGCGAGGTGGCATGAAGGTTGCAGCGAGAAGCGGCGAGAGACTGCGAAAAGAGATAGGAAGAGGCAGACTCCCTAGGGTGGGCGACGGCTAGCGCATCACACCCCTCTCCTTAAAATCCCTGTGTGGTGGCGGCGTGCCGTCCTCCCATCCCTCCCTTGGGTTGTCTGTTTTCTTTCTTTCTTTCTGATTGCCTGCACGCTAGTCGCTACCCGCACTCACGGACTCCATACCCGAAAGAAAGAGAAGGGAGCTCGCGGGAGAGGTGACGAGTGAACTACAGGTAGTGGGGAAGGCAGCCTCGACTGCCATACAGACATGGATGCGAAACAACGACAAGACCACAAGGCACGGGCAGAGGAACGAGAGAAGAACATAGGGTGGATGAAGCGCCTGTTCACGGCATGGAGGGTGAGCCACGCCGAACGTACCGAACGTAGAGCCCGAGCGGAAGGCAGCGGGGGAAGACGACTCCGAGGAGGACGAACCAGTGGAAATCCCGTTGTCAGCCGTCACGATGCACCCGAAGGGGACCCCAGCGCCGGCATCATCCGTGAAGGCACAAGTGTTCGAAGAGAGAGTGGACCTGAGCAACGATATGACTTGGCGGCAAATGATCGGAGTGGGAGTCAGAAATGTGGTCCTTGCGCGAGGGGAGCTCGATAGACTCGAGGGGCCAGGATACGCCGCGAGGAGGACGGAGTTGCGCCGAAAGGCGAAAGAAGCCGCGAGAACAAGGGACCGGCAGGCGGCGGCGTCACAGGACGAGGCAGAAGAGAACGACGCGACAGAGGAGGAAATGACGAGGGAGAGAACGACGAGAGTGGGACGGCCGCGAGGTGGCATGAAGGTTGCAGCGAGAAGCGGCGAGAGACTGCGAAGAGAGATAGGAAGAGGCAGACTCCCTAGGGTGGGCAACGGCTAGCGCATCACACCCCTCTCCTTAAAATCCCTGTGTGGTGGCTGCGTGCCGTCCTCTCCTTCATTCTCATTGCGCACTTGGAGCACTTGGAGTGCAGTCGGTAGCCTCACATCCAGGGCCGGGGAGCTAAGAAGCGCACCCAGCGGGCCGGATGATCGGGATCGGGTTACGGGCTAGAGAGCCCTAGCCCCGGGGGTGCGCGGTCGCAGGGCCTAACACGTCTCCGAGGGATAGTTCCGTGTACCGGGTTACCCCTTAACTGCAGAACGCACCCTCTTCCTCGACCGTGGGGGGGGGTGCGCGTTCGCAGGGCCATAACACGGGTCTCCGAGGGTTGGTTCTGCGCTCCGGGGTTCCCCCAGCGGCGGAATTTTTCCCTCGCGCTGTGGGTCCCCCTAGCTGCGGAACGCCCCCTCTACTCGGTCTCGGAGCTAAAGAATACTCTCCGAGGGTTAGCCCCGCGTACCAGGTTTCCCCTTAACTGCAAGGACGCCCCCTCTAGCTCTACTCGGAGCTAGTGATGTACGTGATACGGGAATACGTACCGCCCCCACGCAGTACCTACACTAATCGACGAGAATACAAGAATACGCAGCTGCGAGACGCCTTACTCGAAGATAATACGAGAATACGTAGCTGCAAGGCACCTGTCGAGCAGCTTCCGCGGCGAGCAGCTTACTTGAGGCGGCGAGGGTGGAGGCGAAGGCGAGGGAGGAGGCGGCGAGGGAGGAGACGGCAAAAGGGAGGCGCACTCTTTTTCTTTCTTTCTTTTACTAGGCACGGGACTTGCGCGCACTGGCACTCACGCAGGTACACCAAAAGAAGGCCTTTCCTAAGAAAAACGCCCCCACTGTTTGTCTGGCACCTCCCCCACCGTCGAGGCGCCCTCCTCGAGCGGACCCCACCAGAAGCGAATGCCGCTCACGCCAGGTGAGTAGAGCACGAGCGGCGCGGCGTCGTGGTCGACGAGCGCGCCGGGCAGGCCTGGCACCGCATCCAGCATGCTGCTGCGCCAGCGCGTGAGTCTCGCGCCCTGCAGCGGCCACGGGTCGTGCGTGATGCGGCCCACCCACAGGCCGGCCTCCCGCGCCATCACGGTGGAGCCGGAGCAGCCGAGCCCCGCCTCGTTGTACCGCTCGACCAGGAGCCGGCGGCTCTGCCGGTTCGGCAGGGCCGTCGCAGATACCTCACTCGAGTGTTTTCGAGTATGGTCTAGATCGAGACGACTCGAAGAGTTCACGCTCCGCCGCGCGCCTCGATCTCCTTGGGCAGCAGCTGGTTCGACAGGTCCTCTCCGTGGCCTAGGCAGCCGGTCTCGCCCTTGCCCCACGTAAAGACAGCGCCATCGGCGGTGAGGGCGAGGCTGTGGAAGCCTCCAGCCGACACAGCGACGACGCGCTGGCCAGCTAAGGCCTCGACCTTCTTGGGCAGCAGCTGGTCCTGCTGGTCGCCGTGGCCCAACCGGCCTCGCTCTCCATAGCCCCAGCTCCAGACACTGCCGTCGGCGGTGAGGGCAAGGCTGTGCGACCCTCCAGCCGAGACCGCGACGACGCGCTGGTCAGCCAAGGCCTCGAGCTTCGTGGGCAGCAGTTGCTGCTGCGTGTCGCCGTGGCCCAACAGGCCTTGCCCTCCGCAGCCCCAGCTCCAGACGTCGCCGTTGGCGGTGAGAGCGAGGCTGTGCAAGAGTGAAGCAGACACAGCAACGACTCTCTGCCCTGCCAAGGCCTCAATTCTCATGGGCAGCGACTGGATCTGCTCGTCGCCGTGGCCCAGCTTGCCATAGCCTCCCTCGCCCCAGCTCCAGACAACGCCGTCGGCGGTGAGGGCGAGGCTGTGTTCGCCTCCAGCCGACACGGCGACGACGCGCTGCCCCGCCAAGGCCTCGACCTGCTTTGGCAGCAGCTGGTGCTGCTCGTCGCCGTGGCCCAGCTTGCCGTAGTCTCCATCGCCCCAGCTCCAAACCGAGCCATCGGCGGTGAGGGCGAAGCTGTGGAAGTCCCCAGCCGACACAGCGATGACGTGCTGACTCGCCAAGGCCTCGACCTCCTTGGGCAGCAGCTGGTCCTGCTGGTCGCCGTGGCCCAGCTTGCCAAAGGCTCCATGGCCCCAGCTCCAAACAGCCCCGCTGCCGGTGAGGGCGAAGCTGTGGAAATCTCCAGCCGCCACGCTCACGGCGCGCTCACCGCCCAGCGTGGAGGGGAGGCGGGTCGGCGTGTTGAGCCGCCTCACTCCCTCACCATGGCCAAGGAGGCCTGGGGCGTGATCCGCATTGCCGCACGACGAGAGCCGCCCCTCGCCGTCGATGAAGAGGCTGTGCCGAGCGCCTGCCGCCGCCCTCGCCGGCGGGTTGGACTCGCGCAGCAGCGCAGCGAAGCACAGCCACCGCACGGCGCAGCTCTCGCCCTCCGGCAGCGCCGGCAGCTCGAAGCCGCGCTCTTGCGCCCACAAGCCGATGCCCTCCAGCGCAAGCGAGGCGTGGAAGAGCAGCGAGACGGCCGCGACGCGAGCGATGTCGGCGGGGTCGCAGCGAGAGAGGGCGCGCAAGAGGAGGTCGGTGGGGAGGTCGAGGAGGCGGGCGGGCGGCGGCGTGTCTGGCGAGGGGGCGGTGGTGGAGGCAGAGGCGAGGCGGCGCGAGCGGCGGCGCGGCAGGCTGGACATCGCGAAGAAAAGAATTTTACAACACCCTCATACTCCCTAGGGTGGTCCTGGGCACTCTAGGGGAGCGCTAGAACACTTGGCGCCAAAGGGCGGGTTGGGGCGGGTTAAGTGAACGAGGGCTAGCCTCTCGCACAACACTGGGCACGGGACTGGCGCGAAGAAGAAGGAAAGAAAACATCGCGTGTCCAGGACCCAGCCCTAGCTTGGGATGTCCGTTTTATTTATTTATTTATTAGGAAAAGAAAAAGCTGGGAAGGAAGGCAAGAGACTTTATGACAACGCTCCCACTATCTGTCTGGCACCTCCCCCACGGTCGAGGCGCCCTCCTCGAGCGGACCCCACCAGAGGCGAATGCCGCTCACGCCGGGTGAGTAGAGCACGAGCGGCGCGGCGTCGGGGTCGACGAGCGCGCCGGGCAGGCCTGGCACCGCATCCAGCATGCTACTGCGCCAGCCCGTGAGTCTCGCGCCCTGCAGCGGCCACGGGTCGTGCGTGATGCGGCCCACCCACAGGCCGGCCTCCCGCGGCATCACGGTGGAGCCGGAGCAGCCCCGCCTCGTTACCGCGCTCGACCAGGAGCCGGGGGCTCTGCCGGATCGGCAGGGCCGTCGCACATACCTCACTCGAGTGTTTTCGAGTATGGTCTAGATCGAGACGACTCGAAGAGTTCACTCTACGCCGCGCGCCTCCTCGATCTTCTTGGGCAGCAGCTGGTTCGACAGGTCCTCTCCGTGGCCTAGGCAGCCGAGATCGCCCTTGCCCCAGGTAAAGACAGCGCTGTCGGCGGTGATGGCGAGGCTGTGTTCGCCTCCCGCCGACACAGCGACGACGCGCTGGCCAAAGGCCTCGACCTTCTTGGGCAGCAGCTGGTCCTGCTCGTCGCCGTGGCCCAACCGGCCTCGCTCTCCATAGCCCCAGCTCCAGACACTGCCGTCGGCGGTGAGGGCGATGCTGTGAGCCTCTCCTGCCGAGACAGCGACGACGCGCTGGTCAGCCAAGGCCTCGACCTTCGTCGGCAGCAGCTGGTTCTGCTGATCGCCGTGGCCCAACAGGCCTTGCCCTCCCCAGCCCCAGCTCCAGACGTCGCCGTTGGCGGTGAGAGCGAGGCTGTGCAAGAGTGAAGCAGACACAGCAACGACTCTCTGCCCTGTCAAGGCCTCGACCTTCTTGGGCAGCAGCTGGTTCTGCCTGTCGCCGTGGCCCAGCTTGCCATAGCCTCCCTCGCCCCAGCTCCAGACAACGCCGTCGGCGGTGAGGGCGAGGCTGTGTTCGCCTCCAGCCGACACGGCGACGACGCGCCGCCCAGCCAAGGCCTCGACCTGCTTCGGCAGCAGCTGGAGCTGCGTGTCGCCGTGGCCCAGCTTGCCGTAGTCTCCATCGCCCCAGCTCCAAACCGAGCCATCGGCGGTGAGGGCGAAGTTATGGAAAGTTCCTGCCGAAACAGCGACGACGCGCTGGTCGGCCAAGGCCTCGACCTTCTTTGGCTGCAGCTGGCGCTGCTCGTCGCCGTTGCCCAGCTTGCCGAAGCTCCCCTCGCCCCAGCTCCAGACGGCGCCGCCGGCGGTGAGGGCGAGGCTGTGCCATGTTGCAGCCGACACGCTCACGGCGCGCTCACCGCCCAGCGTCGACGGGAGGCGCGTCGGCGTGTCGAGCTGCGTCACTCCCTCGCCGTGGCCGAGGAGGCCTGGGCGGTGATGCGGCGCAGAGCCGCACGACGAGAGCCGCCCCTCGCCGTCGATGAAGAGGCTGTGCCGAGAGCCTGCCGCCGCCCTCGCCGGCGGGTTGGACTCGCACAGCAGCGCAGCGAAGCACAGCCACCGCACGGCGCAGCCCTCGCCCTCCGGCAGCGCCGGCAGCTCGAAGCCGCGCTCTTGCGCCCACAAGCGGATGCCCTCCGCCGCAAGCGAGGCGTGGAAGAGCAGCGAGACGGCCGCGACGCGAGCGATGTCGGCGGGGTCGCAGCGAGAGAGGGCGCGGACGAGGAGGTCCGTGGGGAGGTCGAGGAGGCGGGTGGGCGGCGGCGTGCTTGGCGAGGGGGCGGCGGAGGAGGCGGAGGCGAGGCGGCGCGAGCGGCGGCGCGGCGGGGTGGACATCGAAGAAGAATTTTACCCAACACGACGCTAAGGGTGGGCAAGGGCTAGCGCATCACACCCCTCTCCTTAAAATCCCTGTGTGGTGGCTGCGTGCCGTCCTCATCATTCATTCTCATTCTCATTGCGCGGTCTGTTTTCCTTCTTTCTTTCACTAGGCACGGGACTTGCCACTTGCACTCACGCAGGTACACCAAAAAGAAAACCGCGAGTTTTCTTTGTTGCAAGCAGGCCACCAAAAAAGCCCGCGCGCTGCTGAGCATATCAGAGCAGGCCGACATGGTGGACCGGGCGCGTGCCAGAGCTCCCGATGGCGAGCCGCCCTCCAGCCCTCCCTCACGGCCGCCTGCCCGGTGCGCACCAGGCCGAGATGAAGAAGCACGTGGAGCAGATCATCGGGGAGGTTGGCGTCGACAACCTTTCCGCCAAGACGGTGTGGCGGGCTGTGTCGGCGAGCCCGGCAGTGGGCTCCCTGCGCCGAGCGGCGGCGCGCCTCTCCGTAGGTGCGGGAGAAGCTCGAGACGGCGCTGGGCAAGGAGCCGGGCGAGCTCAAGCCGGAGAAGACGCTCATCAGCGAGCTGATTGACGAGGTGATGGCGCAGCAGGAGGACGCGGAGGAGGAGGAGGAGGAGGAGGAGGAGGAGGAGGCGCCGCCGCCCAAAAAGGCGAAGAAGGCGCCGGCCAAGGCCAACGGTGGAGGCGACGACGGCGGCGAGAAGAAGGAGAAGACCTTCAGCTGTACTACTGTGTCGGGCAACGAGGTTCGCCTCACGCGCCTCACGCCCGCCACGCACACACACGATCAGCAGCAGCAGCAGGGCGGGACGCTGTGTTGGGGTTGCCGCCGGAGCTCTGCCAGCGCGCCCGCCCTCCTCCTTAGCCCGTGTCCCTCCCCCGCCGCGCCGCCCTCCCCTCCCCCGCCGATGCCATGCTCTGCCTGTCCCCGCTCCGCGCTCCTCCTGCCATGCCCACTACCATGCCATGCCCACCGCCATGCCCACGCCACCACCCTGCCCCTCCTCCCACGATCTCCCCACGCGCGCGCCAGGCGCCCAAGGACCTCAAAAAGGCGCAGTCGAAGAAGCTGAAGTCGAAGGAGTTTCTCGAGAAGGGCGGCCGCATCGAGATCAATGTCTGTCCCACCTCCGCCCCTGCTGCCACCTGCTCCCTCCCACGGCGTCTGCCTCCTGCTCTGCTCCCTCCCGCCCCTTCTCTTTGCCGCCCCTCCTCCCTGCCGCCTCTCCCGCTCCGGCCCTCGCCCCCGCTGCCTCTCACCTCCCCGCGCCCTTCACCTCCGCCAGCCCTCCTCCTTGCCACCGCCACCCTGCCACTCTCCTCCCTGCCCACCCCACCCTCCGCTGCCCTTGCCCCCCCCC